ACAATATATCATACATTTAATATTGAATGTTATCACTTGACAAAATTAATATGAAAAGTCATGAAGGGTTCAAAATCTAAAGTATGTGCAAGTTTTTGGAGAACTTGTTTATAATCTTTATAAGAATTAAATCGATTCAAAATGCATGAAGCATATACAAATATTGTTGTGCAAGTTGATAACTAGAATTGAAACTCTTGAAGAGTTTTCAAAAGGCAATAGATTATTTGCTTAAAGAAGTTAAAGTAAGGAACTTGCAGAAATCTTTGATCTTGAAGGAAAGATTCATAAAAGTAGATAGAAGAAAACATATTTCGTCAAGATTTTTCTACTCATGAGCTCCCAAGAATGGTGATATCAACATGCAAGAGGTATGTTCAAGTAACATTATTGTTGATTTATTCACCAAGTTTCTATCAACTACAACTTTCAAGAAGATGATGCACAAGATTGGAAAACAAAGATTCTAGTCTCTGAATTGATGTTCTCATAAGGGGGAGTTAATATGCGATGTACTCTTTTTCCCTCACAAGGTTTTGTCCCATTGGGTTTTCCTTGTAAGATTTTTAATGAGGCATCCATAATGCATATTATTAGATATGTGTACTCTTTTTCCTTCACTAGATTTTTTTCCCACTGAGTTTTATCTAGTAAGGTTTTAACGAGGCACATAATCTACCGACATTCAAGGGGAGTGTTATAAACAATTTGTATTATAGTGAATGTCTAATTATGTGGAGTAATTGTAGGATATGGTTAGGAATCCTACTTGGGGACCAAGTAAGGTTTTCCCTATAAATAAAGGGTTTTCCTTCATTGTAAACAAGATTTGTAAAAGATCTCTGAATCCTGAATATACTTCAAGAGAAATAAGAAGTCTTTTCTCTTCTCCCTACTTTCTTCTTCTTCTAAATTTATATAGTTTCATAACAAAATCAATAATATGATGTATTTTAAGAGTTGATAGAGCTTGTTATAAATTTGCCAAACATGTCCAATCGATCAGAGACAGCATGGCAGTGCAACAAACAAAAATGCTAGAAACTACATTGTTGCAACATATATTAGGGGAAATTTCTATTTTCTTTCAGTCCAAATAAGAGAACAAAACAACCACTCAAAATGAGAATTACTTAAAGGTACTAGAAAATTTCCCCTCCTACATTTATTCTCTCATTTTGTTTGTGCCTCCACTCGGAATAAAAGTAGTCAATAGGTGCAAACAAGCATGGCAATTCACAAAGATAAGCCCTTACTAGACAGCATGTGGTGGATAAGGTGGGCATCCCAAGCAACACTACCTCCTTTCCATCATCCGATGCAATATTTCAAACAAGAGCACAAACTATTTGCAATTGTGAAGACGAAACTCTATGTTTGAAATAGAAATGCAATATCATCACGAGATCAAAGCAAGGACTACCATTGATGATTCATCTATTAGAGCTTCTTTGCTACCTAATTCACATCCGAAAAAAGATGGTGGAAATCCGTATTCTTTCCAGTTAGCATAGCCAGCCAGTACAAAGAACTGACAAACAAACTTAACAGATTTCAATAAGCAAGAGAGCACAACTTCAGATTAAAACACTCACAAACCCTAATCGCAAAAATATTATCTCCAAATACTTTATCGTTACACAAACTAATCCTATTAGAGTTCCATAATCAAATGAAAACTAGAATACATTTATAACAGCAAATGAATAAGAAAAATCACAGTGAAATTAAGACAACAAATAAAAATCGATTGGAAAATAAATCTTTGAAGACAAGCTCAGCGGCAACGCCGCCATCGGAGAAAGGACGGTGGACTCACCGGAGTAGAGTGGAAACGGTGCGGACAGCCGTCGGAGTGCAAATGAGAGAGAGAATGAGGTGTAATTTTGGCTGATAATATTTACTTTGATACCACCAATTTCTTACAAATTAAATTACAAAAAGATCCATTACTTTCTAATATATCATAGTTTGAAAAAACAAATAATATCAAATGACTTGGGGGGACTTTTACTTTGAAGAAAGTGTGTTATATGGATTTTTGCTTATTTGGTAAAATGTATTGAGTTATTTTTGGATTGTAGAGTCGATTTTATCATGTGAGAAGAAATTGTGATATAAAATTATATGAGATTAAGTTAAAGTTTTATCAAAATATTCAACTTAAACTCTTAAGTTATACTAGTATATATGCGCGCACAATGCACGGGCAAGGGCAGATCTAGCTTTATGGGTGGGTGTGTCACGACATCTAATGGCCTTGGTTAAAACTCTGTATATATGTGTTACAAGTAAAATAAATTCAGTATATATTACATCTGTCACTCAGTAAATAATACGTTGAATGGTGCAACTGGCAGGCATTGTAACTTTCAATGTGAGCAACAAGGGTTCGAATCTCTTAGAATTTATATCCTTGTTCTAAATATATGTAATACATGCTTTTGATATTCAATGAGCTATTATCAAAACTCTCTCAAATCATACCGCAATAGACTTGAATCTCCTTAAAGAGAGCAAGTTATTCGCGTCTCATCCTAAAGATTTGTTTATTTATTTTATTTCAAGGATTACTTATTATACTTGTATTATATTATGCCAACACTTTATTTATGGGAAATGGAGAAATGGAAGTTGGAAGTAATTCTATTTTAAGAGCCTGTTTGGCTCACCTTAAAAGCTGGTCAAACTGACTTAAAAGCTAGTTTTTTGACTTATTTAACTGTTTGGCAATACTCAAAATAACTTATTTTAAGCTAAAAAAAACTTATTTTAAGCCAAAAGTTAAAAGCTGGGGTAGGGGTGCTTTTTTTTAGCTTATAAGTTGTTTTAAGTTGACCACATTTTTATCTTTTTGCCCTTAATATTTTTATACAATCTCTAAATTACCCATATAACCCTAACATTTCTTTCTTTCATTTTTTCCTTTTCACGTTTGACATAGCAACTTCAGCACTTTTATCCAAACACATAACTGCTTATTTTAAAAATAAGTTTCAACACTTTTAAAATTAATTTTTTAAAGCTACTTTTATTAAGCTCATCCAAATGGGCCCTAACTCTAGTGAGATTGGTCATTTACTAAAAGAGTATATAGAAGGAAAGTTGTTGAAAGACTATGGTCTGAAATCTGAATCATTTGAGATGCTTAATTGTTAGTTCAGCTTCCTAGATGTAATTAACAAAAGACATTAGAGCAGTGCCGGCTCTTGCCTGTCCCAATTTTTTGGGCCTCAAAATTTTTATAAATAAAAAAATCATGTTTAATTTTTTTTTAAAAAAAAATCATAATAAAAAGTAATTATGTATATATATATATATATATATATATATATATATATAT